CAAAAGGACCGGGGACATTTGTAGGGGTGGCCAAAAGCAAGAGGTGATTTGCAGCCGTCCTGCTCGTGGGACTGTGAGAAGTTGGAGCTGGACTCGGCAAACAGAAGATGGATGAAAATGGCCCGGTGATGGGCAAATTTGTTAATTAAACAAATTAAATTCGTTAATTTAACTGCTGATCGCTGGGGGAGGCTCTCTGGGAGCTGTGCCTGGGGGATGATGTGGGCTCTGTCCATCCCCTGCTGGGTGGCTGAGCGGAGCTGCCTTGGGGGGTGGCTCAGTCCCTCGGCAGCAAGATCCGATGTTGGGGTTAAAGCCCTTTCTGCAGTTGTTCTTAATTTTTTGGGCTCAAGGTTTCTCGCCTCAAATGTTCAGCCTGGAGAAGAGAAGGCTCTGGGGAGACCTTATGGTGGCCTTTCAATACCTGAAGGGTGCCTATAGAAGAGCTGGAGAAGGACACCTTGCCAGGAAGTGTAGTGATAGGACAAGGGGAAATGGTTTTAAATTGGAAGAAAAAAGATTCAGATTAGATCTCAGGAAGAAATTTTTTACTATGAGGGTGGTGAGACACTGGAACAGGTTGCCCAGGGAAGCTGTGGCTGCCCCATCCCTGGAGGGGTTCAAGGCCAGGCTGGATGGGGCTTGGAGCAACCTGGTCTGGTGGGAGGTGTCCCTGCCCAGGGCAGGGGGTTGGAACTGGATGATCTTTGAGGACCCTTCCAACTCTAACCATTCTGTGATTCTGTGATTCTATGTCTCGCTGGCTTGTGGAGACCTTCCCTTGGGATGTGAGGCAGAGAAGGGGTGCTGTCCCAGAGGCTTCTGCATCACCCGCACCCTTTGCCCCTCCAGGTTTCATCCTATTGCCACAAAAGTGGAAGGAAGCCACAGGTGATGGGAGATGGCATCTCCCCGTCCGGCTGCGTCCTGCATGAACCGCTGCCCGGACCTCGGTGGGCTCTGACCTTGTGGTGGGGGAGACGGGGATAGGAGGGGTCCCTGGTGGAACTGGGTTGTCATCCCTGAGGTGGACAGAAAAACGTGTCTCCCGAGGATGGCTCCACGCTCTGCTCAGCCTGAGGCTCCCTCTGCTGTCCGTCTGTCTGTCCTTTTCTTTCTTTTTTGTCCTCTTTTTTCTTTTCCTCGGTCCCTTTCTTGTGCTCTCTCTTTTCTCTCTTTCTTCCCAATTTGCTCCCACTTTCCCCTCTTCCCTTACTTCCCTTTCTCTCTTCCTTCTCTCTCTTCATTCTCTCCTTTTCTCTTCCCTCTTTCTTCCCTCTACTCTCTTGTCCTTTCCTCTCTCCCTTTCTTGCATTCTCTCTCTTTCTTTTTTCTCTTCTTTTTTCTCTTCTTTTTTCTCCTCTTCTCTTTTACCTCATCTCTCTTCTTTTCTTGTGGGACAGGACTGAGCTCCCATTGGACAGGGTAGCCTTATCCCCCTTTTCCTGTGGGACCAGCAGATGCCGGGCAGCAGTGGGAAGACCCAGCCAGCCTGTTCAGGGGGGAATTGGGACCAGATTGAAGGTGCAATTTTGCTTTGAAAGAAGTGCAAAATCGTGATGAGCTGCCAGCAGCATTCCCTGGAGCACGCAGAGTGCTTTCTGGAGCCTTTAGTCTGTGGGATGCTAAAACAAGGGTCTACCCCTGCTCTGCCAGCAAGCCAGCTGCCGTGGCTTCTCTTTGGGGAAATACTTCTCCAAAATATTTCGCTGTCTGGTACGTTCCCTGCCCTTGCCTTGCTGCTTGGTTGGTGGCAGAGCTGAGCACTCTGGGTTGGGATGCTCTAGTGCCACCCTGTGCCGTTGAGTCACCCTCCAAACACTTGTTTTGGAAATGCTGGGTTCCCTTATTTTGGGATGCCCCAGCCCTGGCTCCTTCCCCGGGAGCTGCTGGCAGGGAGGTGTGCAGTGAAATGAAGATCATTGACTTAATGAGGGCTGGCGGCAGCAACCCTGCCTGTGGGGAGGTCCTGCGGGATGGCTGCTCTGCTCTGCTCTGCTCTCATGAGCTGCCTAATCCCAGCAGAAGGGAGAAATGGGATTTTTTTCTGGCTGGGCACTGTGTCTGCACACGCTTGGGGCACCCTAGCAGGGTGCCACTCCTGCCTGAGACAAGGAGGCTCATCGGGGCTTGTGATGCTCCCCACCCTGGCTCCGGGAGCTGTCTTGGGGATGCTGCGTGGCTCCGGGGGGGCTTGGATCATCCTCCCGTCGCAGGTTGGCACCCACCCCACTTATCTGCCCCCCAATTCAGGGGAGAGGCTGTGGGAATGATGAGATTTTCTGTCTGTCCTCCCCACTGGTGGGAGAGGAGCTGCAATCACTGGTGTTTCTCTTGGGCAGGCTGAGGACATGGGGAGGGTGGCTGGACAGGGCACCTCTGCCCCACGGGAGCAGAGTGGGGTGCCCTCCCAGCATGCTATGGGTTAGCAGGCTGGCTGCTGTCCTCAAGTTGATGGGAGCACATGAGCTTCTTGGGGGGGCCTGTATGGAAAATCTGACACACTGACCAAAACACATCCTGCGTTTGATTAGTCACGGCCTGTTCCACACCACGCGCCCCTGACAGCATCAGGCGTGGGGCAAAGCCTGTTAGCAAGAGTGTCCAGTTTTGGGCACCTCAATCCAAGAGAGATCTGGAGGTGCTGGAGCGAGTGCAGAGGAGGGCAACGAAACTAGTGAAGGGCCTGGAAGACAAATCATATGAAGAGCGGCTGAAGGAGCTGGGGCTGTTCAGTATGAGGAAGAGGAGGCTGAGGGGAGACCTCATCACTCTCTACAACTACTTGAAAGGACACTGTAGAGAGTTCGGGGCTGGTCTCTTCTCACAGGTAATTAACAATAGAACGAGAGGGAACGGCTTCAAGCTCCAACAGGGGAGGTTTAGACTGAACATTAGGAAGGAATTTTTCACCGAAAGAGTGGTCGGGCATTGGAACAGGCTGCCCAGGGAGGGGGGGGAGTCCCCATCCCTGGATGTGTTTAAGGGCCGTTTAGATGCAGTGCTGAGGGACATGGTGTAGGGGAGGACTTTGTAGAGTAGGGGAGATGGTTGGACTCGATGATCCCAAGGGTCTCTTCCAACCTCAAGGATTCTATGATTCTATGATTCTAAGAGCATCCTTGCCACGCCAGCTGCCACTTTATGGGGTAAACTCACCCATTCCGCTTAAAAAGTCGCATGGGAAATGTTGTGTGAGGTAAAATAGACATCAGAGCGGTTGTTTCAGTGTTTTTCCTGAATGTTTTAAAACTGGAGCAGTAGGAGAGTTGCATCCCTTCAGGCCCCACGTTACAGGAACACGTTACCACAGACTGTGGCTTCCCCAGCCATGTAGCATCCTGGCTAGGGGGAGCTGAAATTGCCATCTACCCATCAATGTCCCTTCTCGGGGACACTTTTTGAGCCACAAAGGTGACTTGCCCCATGTCACGGCGAGAGCGGTGTGATGGTGTGGTCCACAGGTGTGCTGCATCCCAACGGGGCCTGGGGGCTTGGTGGTCCCTAGGAATGAGGGGTTGTCGTCTCCGGAGCCGGGCACCTTTGAGGTCTGGAAATCATAGAATCATAGAGTCATAGAGTTGTCCAGGCCGGAAGGGACCTCCAAAGGCCATCTAGTCCAACCCCCCCGCAGTCAGCAGGGACACCCCCAACTAGACCAGGTTGCCCAGGGCCTCGTCGAGCCTCACCTTGAATATCTCCAGGGATGGGGCCTCAACGACCTCCCTGGGCAACCTGTTCCAGTGCTCCACCACCCTCACAGTGAAGAACCCTCTCCTCATCTCCAGTCTAAATCTGTTCCCCTCCAGCTTGAAGCCATTGCCCCTCGTTCTGTCACTGCAGGCCTTTCTAAACAGGTTCTCCCCAGCCTTTGTAGGCCCCCCTCAGGTACTGGAAGGCCACTATTAGGTCTCCCCGGAGCCTCCTCTTCTCCAGGCTGAACAACCCCAGCTCCCTCAGCCTGTCCTCGTAGCAGAGGTGCTCCATCCCCCTGATCATCCTTGTGGCCCTCCTCTGGACCCTCTCCATCAGGTCCATGTCCTTCTTATATTGAGGGCTCCAGACCTGCACACAATACTCCAGGTGAGGTCTCACCAGAGCAGAGTAAAGTGGCAGAATCCCCTCTCTGGACCTGCTGGCAACGCATCTTTTGATGCAGCCCAGGATGGGATTGGCCTTCTGGGCTGCAGCTGCACCCTGCCTGCTCATGTCCAGCATGAGGCTGGATAAATGGATTTTGGGTGATGTTTTTAGGCTGGGGAGCAGAGTGACTGAATTTTGTGGGGCAAGAGAAAGCACTGGTGCTGCCCAAGGGAGATTTTCATCCCAGGCTTCAGTAAAACGCAAGCACTTGGGGTAGGGTTGCTCAGATCTCCTGACTTCCAGATGTGCTGGTGTGTGATGCTCGTGGTGGTGGTGAGAGGATCACAAACGCTCCCCTTGCTGCCTTGTGACAGCACCTGGGGGGTCCTGGCCATGTAACCAAGCTGGGAAAGCTGCTCAAGAACACTTGACTTCTGGGACTTGTTGTGTTTCCAGCTGGTGGAAATCTTGGAAATGTTTTCTGGGATTTTTTTTTCCTTCCTCGTTCGCTTTTACTCTGAGGTTCTGTGATTCTGTGCTCCTGAGACCTGTAGTGGAGGACACCTCTGTGTCCCACCAAAGTTGAGCCATCTGTGGGGGTCGTATCCATTCCCAAGCCCCTTTATCCAGAGTCAGGGCAGTTTAACCGGAGCCAAGGAGAGAGGATTTAGGGTTTTCCGGGCGGTAAGGAGTTAAAAAGCTGGCAGCAGCAGCGGCAGCAGCTGGGAGAGGGTTTGTCAGAGGGCTGGCTCGGCTCCCTGCGGTTTTGGGGGGCTCAGGTGGGTTCCCAGCGGGGCAGCAGGGTGCCCGGGGGGGCTGGCGCTGGGGAGAGGAGGGTTTGGCAGGGCCGGCAGCGCGGCCGCTCCTCCCACCCCCCGGCCCTCCGGAGGGTCCTGCGCCGGAGCTGGGGAGGAGATCCTGATGTGAGAGCTCCGGCAGCCCGGCCGTGCCAAACTCCTGCCTCTTCTTCCCTCCTTCTGGCCTCTCCGTTTCACGGGGCTTGTTTTTGCCCTTCCTCATGGCCCCCCTTCCTCTTCGCTCGGAGCTCCTGCTCCTCCTGGCTTGCTGCTTCTCCTCCTCCCAACCGCAGCTCCTGGACTGGATTTGGGGCAGCACGAAGCCCACGGGAAGCCCAGCGACATCCAGCATGGGAACCACAGGGCTGGAGCCACTCACCTCGGCGGCAGCTGCCACCCAAAGCACGTCCCCAGGATCGTGGGGTGTCCGGGTGGTGGAGGATGTCACCACCCTGCAGCTCCAGGAGCCGGATCCCAACACAGCAGCACCTGCAGGTGAGGGGACCACGGCCAAAACCAGCAAGCAGCGGGATGGGAATGCCACGGGGCTGGTGAAGAGCACGGCGTGGCCAAGCATCGCTCCTCCCCGCGGTGTGTCACCTGCCCCTGGCCAGGATGCGGCCAGCAGCTCCACCGAGGACCTGCAGGTCCTGGGGACAGGGACCACCAAGGACCCGCAGCTCCTGGGGATGGGGGACACCGAGGATCTGCAGATCCTGGGGACAGGGACTACCAAGGACCCGCACCTCCTGGGGACAGGGACCACCAAGGACCTGCAGTTCCTGGGGATGGAGGACACTGAGGATCTGCATCTCCTGGGGACAGGGACCACCGAGGACCCACAGTTCCTGGGCACAGGGACCACCAAGGACCCGCAGTTCCTGGGGACAGGGATCACCAAGGACCCACAGATCCTGGGAACAGGGACTACCAAGGACCCGCAGTTCCTGGGGACAGGGACCACCGAGGACCTGCAGCTCCTGGGGACAGGGACCACCAAGGACCCACAGATCCTGGGAACAGGGACTACCAAGGACCCGCAGTTCCTGGGGACAGGGACCACCAAGGACCCGCAGCTCCTGGGGATGGAGGACACTGAGGATTTGCAGCTCCTGGGGACAGGGACCACCAAGGACCCACAGTTCCTGGGGACAGGGACCACCGAGGACCCGCAGTTCCTGGGGACAGGAACCACCGAGGACCCGCAGTTCCTGGGGATGGGGGACACGGAGGATCTGCAGCTCCAGGGGACAGGGACCCCCCCAGCAACGAGGACACAGGTGTCCTTGCAGAGACCGTCAGGTCCTTGGCCAGGTAGTGCCCCTTTTCCTTTCCCAGCAGGTGACAGGACCCATGAGCAGGCAGTGCCACCCCAGGACCCCACGGTGCCACCTCCCCGACACAGCCACGGAGCATCACCTGCCTCCCTGAGCCCGCGGCGCAGCACCGGCCGCTGGGGGCTGGGGCTGAGCCCCCTGAGAGCAGCCAGCCCTGCGGATCCTCCTCCTGCCAACACCTCCCGTCCTCTTAAGTTCGATTTACTAACTGCTGCTTCACGACTCTACAGCGGTGGTGGCACGGGGCTGGTGGCCTTCTCGCCCGGACTGATGCCGCCGGCCGGCCGGTGCCTGCCCGTCCCGACTCCCCTGTCCTTCTGCAGCGTGCTGGGCACCCAGCACGTCAGGGTCCCCAATTACCTCCGCCACGGCAGCGAGGGGGAAATTCGGGCGGCTTTGCGTGAGTGGGAGGGGCTGCTGGAATCGCGGTGCCATCGCTACCTGGAGTGGTTTCTCTGCTTGCTCCTGCTGCCCGGGTGTAGCCCTTCGGTCCCGGTAACCCCCCCGCCGTGCCAGGGCTTCTGCGAGGCCGTCAGAGACCTGTGTTGGATGCACTTGGCCGGCGGGCGCCTGCCTCTGCCTTGTGATGCTCTCCCTCGGGAGGACGGAGGGTATTCTTGTGTCTTTATTAATGCTTCTGCAGGTAACGTGCCTGGCCGAATGTCCCCGTGTTTCTGTGTGTCTCCCCTCCCCACGCTCCCCCCAGCTTTTTAGGCACCAAGAGACACTTCTGCCTTGTCCCCAGGGGAGGCTGCTGAGTCCAAAATCACTTTCCAGCCAGCCTCAGCTTCTTCAAACAGGGACTACTGGCAGGTTTTGACTCCTCCTTCAAGGCCCTTCACCATCATCCCCTTCTCAGAATATTTGGTACTGGGTCCAGTTCTGGGCTCCCCAGTTCCAGAAGGACAGGGTACTGGTGGAGAGGGTCCGGCAGAGGGCTACAAAGATGATTTTAACGGTTTTAAATTGGAAGAAAAAAGATTCAGATTAGATACCAGAAAGAAATTTTTTACTCTGAGGGTGGTGAGACACTGGCCCAGGTTGCCCAGAGAAGCTGTGGCTGCCCCATCCCTGGAGGGGTTCAAGGCCAGGCTGGATGGGGCTTGGAGCAACCTGGTCTGGTGGGAGGTGTCCCTGCCCAGGGCAGTGGGGTTGGAACCAGATGATGTTTGAGGTCCCTTCCAACCCAAACCATTCTATGATTCTATGATGAGGGGCCTGGAGCATCTCTCTTAGGAGGAGAAGCTGAGGGACTTTGAGGTGTTTAGTCTGGAGGAGAGAAGGCTGAGGGGGGATCTGATCAATGCTGATAAATACTTCAAGGGAGGGTGTCAAGAGGACGGGGCCGGTCTTTTTTCAGTGGTGCCCAGGGGCAGGACAAGAAGAAACGGGCACAAACTTGAATAGAAGTTCCACCTCAACATGAGGAGGAACTTCTTTGGTGTGAGGGTGGCAGAGCCTGGAAGAGGCTGCCCAGGGAGGTGGTGGAGTCTCCTTCTCTGGAGATCTTCAAGCCCACCTGGACACGTTCCTGTGGGACCTGCTCTGGGTGGCCCTGCTCTGGCAGGGGGTTGGACTAGATGATCTCCAGAGGTCCCTTCCAACCCCATGGCATTCTGTGATTCTGTAACAAACAACGTCCTGGTGGCCAGAACTAGAGATAGTCGCCAAGTGCATCGTGCTGGCATTCAGGACTGGTTTGCAGGTGCTACAGTGCACAGGAAGGAGCTTTGGGGTGTCCATCTCAGGAACGGGGCACTTGCAGAGCTGGCAGCTCCCCACAGGGACAGGAGAAGGACCAGGACCTCACAGCCACCCAACCACAGCAGCATGTGGGGCCGTGGCAGTGAGGAGGCTTCAAGGTGACCCACAACCGTGCCTGCACGCTCCCCTCTCCCAGAGAGGCCCTTTGCCTTAGGGTTAATGATTTACCTAAGGGCTAATGTTTGATTCCTCCCTGCTTGGCAGGCGGGAGAGGTTATGTCGCCTCTGGCTTCATCCCTGGTGGCTGTGACCCTTCTGTGTGTCACCCTGATAGGCGCCTCTTTGGCAGGGGGGATGAAAGGCAGAGAGCTGGGGGGGGAAGGGGAATGGCGCTTGGAGAAATGCAGATGGGGGTGTAAGAGCAAGAACACAGTCTGGGATGAAAGCAGGAGTGGGTGCTTGTGGCTCCCCCCCGCCAGGGTCTCTGAATGAGGCTGTGTGTTCCCACACTGGCCCCCTGCGCCCTCGGGTGATGGCCTGGGGCTGCCAACCAGGAGCAGCAGGACACTGGTTCAGTGTGGGGCCAGCAGACAGGGGTCCCCTCGGTGTCAAAGCGGCTCTGTCTGCCATCGGACCCCGGGGGGGTGTGATGGGGTGGTAGGGATGCTCGGGGGGGAGCCGCATGCTCCCAGACGGGCAGTGTCGGGAGTGGGGGAGACACATGGGGACCGTGGTGCACCCCGTGGAGAGACTTGAGGTGCTCCTGCGTGCTGGGGGTCCCCCACATCCCAGCTGGGATGGGATGCACAGGGCCGCGAGGACAGCCCTGGGTGGGGAGAGCATGGAAGGTGATTGTGGAGCGGGAAGGTGGCTCGGAGCATCTCCAGGGCCTTTCCAGTGGTGACAGGAGCAAATGGCTGGGTGGCTGTGGGCAGAGGTGTCCCCGCAGCCATCCCGTAGCCAGCACGCTCACCCCAAAACCACTGCGGCCTCAGCCATCTCTGGCTCTCCTTTCTCCATAGTGGGTTTGCCACGGGGAGGAGGTGGTGCCATATTTGGGTCCTGGGTGCCCTTTGGAAAAAAGCATGGCCTGAAAGGTGTGGGGCTGGAAAGGGGCACTGGGCTGG